CCCTCTGCTACGTATATTATATGATATATGAAGAGAGGTTTCTTCAAATTTCACAGTCATTTACTAAAAAATAACTTACAAAAACAGTTCAATAAACGTTACAAGTACCAATTACATTATATTATACAGATAATAAACTGATATATGGACTATTACTTTTTGTATGACATTCTAACCTTCGTCCTACTATCAACCAACATTTGGCAAAATAGGTCCTAATACTGGTGGTTTTGTTGAAACTTTTGTTAATCCATTAATTAAAAAAGAATAAAATAAAAAATAGTCAAATACCTCTTAAATCTTATGATATATTAACTAAAAATATATATATATGACAATATTTTTTAGGTCTATTATTGCTATAAAACAAGTGTATTATTAAAAAAAAAAATCTATTATATAATTTAACAATAGTAAAAGAATGATAGGGTTTCCCCTCTAATCTAATCTAGTGAAACTTCTCCATTGCTAAGAGGAAAATGTCTTTTCTACCAAAATGTGAAAAATAGGTTTGTTTATCGTTTTTTGTTTGACTTTATCATCGCTTAGCAACCATTTTCTACTCGAAGCCACAATATATAGATCAGTCAACATAGGTGCAGTTTTCATTCTGGTTGAAGAAGGGGGTGTTCCCAAAAAAGTTTATATTATGTATAAAAATTATGAGTGATAATTAACATAATCCACATGATTATAGTAAAAGAAATAATATAATACTATAGACAAATCAATTTATTAAGGTAACTACTTCTAGGTCTTAACTTAGCCATCTAATCGATTTTTTCTATTTCCTTAATTGATTTTAGTTTACATATTTTATTGATTAGTGTAGATTAATTGCTATTGATTTTATTTTTGATTGTAAAATATTGGAGAAGAGAAGGAGAGATATTCTTGCCTTCTATATTTTTATTGGGAGATAATCGTCTTCCTCCTTCCCCGAAGTTTGATAGTCAAGCGACCAATTTCTTTGTTGTTTTTTCTAGATTTTCCATTGTTTGATATGGTTAATAATAATACAAACGAAAAAAAATTAACATAGAAAAATAATTGCTAATTTTCTTATATCAAATAAATAGTGGTTTAATAATACATTAAAAATTTAAACCAAATATTGAATTTCTTAAGAGCTGTTAATGCAAAAGATAATCTTATTTTTGCAATGCATTTCATCGGTAAGTACGTCATAATTTGCAGAAATGACTACAGTATCTGAAACAATAAAATAAGATTTTGGCATATGGACACATACATAACTAGTGATTAGATACTACTTGACAAAAAAGAATAAGGGGATACGCGATTAAGAACGATTAATAAAACAGTTGTAGAAAAATTATAAAAAAAAACTAGGTTCCTTGTTAGAAAATATGCGATATTTTTAATGAAATAAAATAATTTCAATGCTTTATCTGTAAAAGTTTTTAAAACAGTTGAAAGAGTGAAATTTTAATCAAGAAACTACTTTTAAATAATTCGAAGGATCCTCATCATCACTTGGACGTAAATATAACAATTATATTTAATCAGTGTTCAAATAAGTGGACACATAACGTATTAAAATATGTCAAAGTAAATTCACATCATATAATATTATTATGCTTTGCTGCTGTCGGTAAAGTCATTTCTTTCAGGCAATGCAAATCTGCGTCTACAATCTAATGAGAACAAACTCCCAAACGATCCATAGTTATCTTATATCGTACAACTATTACGCAAGTGGTTTCCTCAAACTAGAGTTTTGAGAAGGGTCCACTGTATTGTGGATCAAGGTTGCCGCGAGGAGTGTGGGTGATCGGGGCGAGATTTTATCTTGTTTCTCATTGTTTTAGTATAACTTTGCACTACCATACGATGGTGGATAAATTTTGAATGTCTAGAATTGTTGCAATTTTAATTATTAAAATTAATATTACAATGGCTTAAATGTTTTGTTTTTTCCATTTTTGGGACCGCCGTACAACAGATTTTAGTACAAAGACAAAAGGATCGATTGTTTTAAAGGCAACAATGCCAGCTGAAAACATCTAGTCACTATCACGATTACTGAAGCTGATCAAGATAAATTAATTTATTTTTATTTTTATAAAAACAATTTACTAGGGTTGCCGCTAGGTCATTTAGTGTTACAATGGCCGAGAAAAAACAAGGCCTACATGATTAATCGAAGGATGGTCGAGATGAACATGATAGCTGCCATGAGGTTGATAATTCCAGGGGAGAACTCCACAGTATATGCCCCTCGCATCCGGTCCGGAAGTGCTCAAGGAACCTAAGCCAGACATCTCCACGCCGGAGATTCGGCGCCTTGTATAATGCCAGCTGAGCCTTCTTCCCTTCCACAATAAACATTTATATTTAGGCAGAGGAAATAATCGATTCCAAACCAAATAAAACTGACAAATGACAAGTCAACTTGATAAACACGAAGATAACGGAATTAACTCATTCGAATCAGACAGTACGCCAATGATCGATCGATTCACCAAGAGTAATCAATGTTTCTTACATAGAAAAATAACATATTAATTTAAATATGTACAGTAAAATCAATCATAGAATTAACTAAACTAGACGCACTTACAGGTGCTCCAGAACTTACCACTCAGAAGGAAACAAGTACATCATTAAATTAAGGCTTATATTCTTATACTTGAAACTTGAAACCAATTAATTATTTAATTGCCATTTATAAAAAATATATACAAGTTCTCTATAGTAATTTATGTTTTTATTATTAGATGTCATGTCGAACGCGAACCAAGCCTAAACGAGGGAGAGTTGATTGTATATTTAAGAATACAAATAAATCAAAATTTTATCAAATTGTAAGAGTGCCCATCCTCCAATGGCTGCATGCTTAGTGTTGCTCAAAATCGGTCTTGATCTGGCACTTTGCAAGGCCAAGACTAAGACCGCCTCACTGTTCTAAGACCAAGACTGGTAAAAAAAAGTCGATTTTTAAAATAAAAATTAAGGCAAAATAGTTACGAACGCTTGACAGTTTTAGTTACTATATGTAAAGAATTGGTATAACCAACATACTTTTGCAATTAACTATTCTAATTTTTCATTCGGGCTTAGTTGGGTTTTCCCTATCTAAAAAAATATAGTAATATCTCTCTATTACTAAGCTAATAGGTAACTGCAAGATCGTTATGGGACTTGCTCAAGAACAAGACTGAGTTTGCAAGACTTCTCTTTTTAAAATCGATGAAAGTGAATGTGGTGGGATTATAACAATTGTTATTTAATTACTATTACACTTGCTATGGTCTGTTCTCTGGTTCAAAAATTGAAATTGAATCCTTTCAAAAGATTTTATAGAGCTATTTGCGCCATGCCCTATTCCCTTCTGTATAGCCCTATCCAATGGCAATACAACAAGAAAGAGGAAAGAGGAATAACATCGACTTTTTTTTATAACTGAGGCACTAGTTGAATCAAAATACAAAGTAAAAATAAATAAATGCTATTTAGGCCGACATTACGGCCCAAAGTTCAGGCCTTCATCAAGGCTAATAAAAGACAAGATAGCAAATAGTATTATAGGTATAGTTATTCTTTTTCATTCGGCAAATACTTGAAGCAGCACCTAAGGAGAGTGTGGGCGGTAAGCGAGGGGATAATGTGTGTTAGCACGTGTACTTGGAGTGCTTCTGATATCAGCTGGTAAAGAACTAGTTATCTTCCAAATTCTACTATCACTTACGAAAGGATCTGAAGGAATAGTTTCATGATAGGAGGATTGAAATCAAAAGACTCCACCATGTAATAATAATCGTATGATCCGGAAGTATCAAATAATGTGACATTAACTATTGTTGAACTCTTAATAAAGAATAAGAAAGTCAATTTGCCAACGACATGGATTTTGAACATAAGAAATATGTTAAGATTAGTAAATACTACATAACTTTTTTTCTTTCTCAATTATCCCATATCTCGCTATTTACGGCCTATTGTGTGGGGTAGGAGAATGGGGTTCTTCTGGAGGTACCAAATCTATATCTAACTAGAGTGGAAAGGTCGAGATTCACTCCGTGGCAAAAGTACAAAAACAAACACATTACTTGCAAAAGCTCATCGCAAGTAGTATTTTTATTTAATAGTTTCTTTCAGGATCAGTTTCTTGGAAAAACACATTCACAATTCTGCTTTGTGTTTAGTCATTAATTCAACACCTCAGACTGAATCAACACTGCTATCTTTATGTTCGGACTGCATATTACATCAGTAGGTTTGGGGTATATATCAACGGGACGAACGTTCATAATTTTTTATATATATATATATGAATCGAAATTATATAATTAATAAATACTTTTTTTTTTTTTTATTAAATATAATCAAACATCAAATAGAAAAATTAGTTTTTCAAATTTTTTTTATAAAACATATCGAGTTGCGCGGAAATGAATGGTTTAAGTTATCATAGCATAGAGTAAAAAAAAAAAAATCAAAGTCTCGTTGAAAAATGTATTTACTTATTTTTTAGTTTAGCACAGAAGCCTTATTTTAAAAACGATGCCATAAAAAAAGATTATGCCTATATATAAGTTAGTACAGCAAGTCATTTCAAGATAAAATTTTTGATGCCAAGTTAATAAAAAAAAATCCTATGTATTTGTATATGTATTTGTTTATTAAGATGATATATATTTTTCATATAACTCCCTATAATACAAAAGTAGATATTTATTTTATGACAACATAAAATCTGGTCAGAAAGAAAATAAAAATATTATATACTGCTAAAAGTTGTTGAGAAAATTAATCAATACTTTGGATAAAACATTTCTACAATTTACTTACTGGATATGGCGATTAAATGGTTGATTGTAACCGGCTATTATTAATAATTAAACTATATGTTTATATATTTAGGTCAAAGATAAAATTGATCACGGCTATTTATTAAATACATGATATCCTTCAAATTTTGTTGTTTTTCCTTTTATATTTTATTCATTATTAATTCATCATAATTAGAAGACAGTTTAACAAAACATAGTACAAGAGCCCTCGGTACTACCTCCAAGACCCCCCCCCCTCAAGGTGGTACCAGGACCTTGCCACATTTCAAGCAGAGCCAGTAGGCTAAATGCAAATAAACCCTGACCTAAGGCGCGCACGAGAGGTAGAACCGATACAGCCGGTTTCGCTATAAATCGCTTCGAAATGGATCCGTGTCTTGTATTATTTTCGAGTTTGGAATTCCTCATCGACCCAGCTTCCAGTCGGACGGATGGACACGGTATCGTCAAGTAATTTGTCATAGGAAATCTGAAAGGATGGTAACAAATATCTAAAGTGTTCATGTTTTTAATCACAAAGAGAACTAATCTTGATCGAACGACATAGAAAAGATTAATTCTGTACCCCGGAGGTAGAGGGCACCACCATTATTTTATTTGTTCAGTGCATCCAATTTTCCATAACTTCGAACTGTTAAAAGTTTTGTTTCTTGGTTACTAACTTTTAAAAAATGGACATGGTGTTTTTTACCCATGGGACACAGAATTTATGGCTGAACTTGTTTAAACTCGTCGATATCAAAATTTTAATAATCACTTTTCAAAATCGATAAAAAAAAATCTCAAGCTATCATACATACAAAGAATTTCATTCGTAAGTACTGTTACTTATAAAGATTTTTTAATAGCAGTTGAATAAACTAGGTATAGTAGTGACCCGATTAAGAAGAAAATATTTTTGACAACAACAGCCATTTTATATTTAGAACATAAATGAAAATGTAAATAAAAAATTTCCAGATGCCATCCAAAAATATTTGGCAGCAGTTTCTTTCAGTCACGGCTAATTAAGTAGGAATATAAGGTACTAAAAATAACAGGAATGTTTTCAGTAGTAGATGTGTAAATAAACAAGCGTGTGTGTGTGTTTTTTTTTTTTTTTTAATGTAACGGTTTATATCAATTATCTTCAAAATTATTTGAATGTATGCTATTAATAATAATTTGAAGGAAAGTAACAGCATAATCTCGAAAAAGATTAACGTTCACTATTTAACGTTATTTGAATACATAAAAAAAAAATAATAATAAATAATAACTTTGGACTGAGGGAAATTAAAATTCGAATTTTCTTACAACGGATTATTTTTGGAAACACGTTCAACGATAGTTAAATCGGAAATATAAAAAGAGACATCAATTTTTTTTTTATGGTACATTTATTAGCCTTTATAATTTTTATGCCGTCATGACCGAAGTTATTTTATGATATAAAGGAGTAATCTGTATAATTAGAAAATAGTGCTTAAGCATATTTTCTGGTTAAAAAAAAAATTACACCCTTGATATTTCAACATAGTGTTAATACGACTATGTCCTTAATTATGATTCTCAGTTTCACAATATTTTTTTAAAAATTACTTTGGAAAAAGTCTAGGATGAAGATTACATGAAGTAAAGTACAAAGAATATTATCTGTTCATTAGAAATTGAATTAGTCGACACAAGTTGCCCGCCATGGGCAGAAGGCTAACGACAAGGATAGGGGTGGCCAGGACGAGATAAAGCTGGCACTGGCAGCTTCGATTAATCAAGCTAACCTAATCCAGCTCGATGGACGCTTTACAGGAAAAACTGAGGAGTCATTCCTCACGATATGGAGTCTCCAATGGGCTATTTATGCATCATATACAAAAAAGTAATACCACATCAGAGAAACAATGAATATACACTTAGTAATCAGGTAAGTTAAAGATCCTTCTAAAAAAGCGATTCCATTGTTTTGTTAAGAGTACAATAGAGGAGTGGCTCCAGGTCTCAAAGGCAAGAGGAGTAAGAATTATCTATTAACTATCAATATCGCAGCAAGAATCAATGGAGTAGTGATATTTTGGAAAACTTAATTGTAGTTTTCACTACTTAACTTGGTAGTAAGGAATTTTTTTCGAAACTGTACATAGACCAAACGGAACAGCCGAGAAGGAAGAAGGTTTATGCTTGATTAGCTGAATCAATGATCCATTTGGAACTGTTCCAAGTCTTCTTCAAGGGACCGGATTCTCTGAAACTCTTCAAAAAGGGAACTAAAAAAATAATTTAAATACTTCTAAAGACCCACAAGCAACTTAAAACAGATCTCAACATAACACAACATGTATGCTTATGAAATATTTTCCAAATGTGTTAATTTATATAGTAAGTTATAGGAGAAAACCCAATATAGAAAATAACGAAAAAGGTGACATTTGCGTCATAAAATAAATTGAAATACATTCAAAATTGTTCTTCGATTAAACATCCATCCAACAAGTGTGATCTATAATATTCTTCAAACATATTCTACAAGTCGACACAACTAATGTTATCTCTTCCCAAACCAAGGGTATAAAAAAAACAACCTATATCAATAAAACCCATGAAGGGTCTTGGGTTCAGTACTTAGTTAGGAAGTTTAAAGGCTAATGGTTGTGCAGAGAGCTGATCAAGCCGGGATCACGTTCAACCACCAGGTTTCTCCTAAATTAATTATTTAATTAAGAGTATCCACTTTATAGAGCCTAAGTGTGCCCCAGGAGGATCTCCTGACCCCACGGTAGATTCAGGACCGATGAATGTTCAGCCGGATTCGAACCCGGGTCCTAACACACTGAGCTACTCCTCTCTCTGGAAAGGTCCATATATATAAACAAAATAAAAATCTATTAAAATAAAATATAAACATATAAAATATTCTTATGGGATCAAATTGCTATTTTCAATTTACACACACATGTGGGTCGTAATTTGTATAAAAAATTATTTTACAAAGAAAATTTCTAAATAACTGAAATTATCTTGCAACCAGGGGCATTATAATAATTTATTTGGGAGGTGTAAACTCAAAACATTTTCTAACAACAATTTTAATAGTTAAAACAAAATTTCCGGAAACATTATTTGGTGCAGAAATAATTCAATTGTCCACCGTACCCTTTTGGATTTAAAACGTTAATTTACCTCTTGCCAATGCAGACAGCTTACAACAATTATTTTCTGTTCTCTCCGTTGTACATAACCTTTCTTATCAAATTATAAACACCAACCTAAACCTTGTGAAAGGTTTCTTTAATTAATTAATTTAATGAGGTACTAAAAACTCATAAATATCCATTTACTTTCCACTTAAATCGTAGGATAATTAGAATGATCACAAAATTCAGAAAAAAAAATCTGACCTACTACAATATTGGGCATTTTTGGCCCATATAACTTCGTTATTTTGACATAATGTCACACCGAACGATCCAATATTTTTGCCCCCTTTTTTCTCAATTTTGTGCTCAAATTATCTTAAGATACAAGTGGAAAGCAAATAGCTAGTCATACATCTTAAGTACCTAATTAAATATACAATGTTTGCCTATCTCCAGAATGAATACGCCCAAATTTCGAGATTTTTCTCGAAGTTTTAGCGGTTGTTAATAATTTAATAAGAAAGGGTCTGTACCACGGACTACATTATATTGACAAAATTTCAATTACATAACTCATAAATTATTGTTATTTAGTTTGAGTAACTTTTTGAGTAAAATGTTTAGCCAAAATTTCCCAATTTTGAAGTAAGTTCTCAAATGTTCCAACTTGATGGAGGTACGCCTGACTACCCACTTACTAGCCCCCATGACGAATTTCCTCATAACAACTCATTTACTTCGACTCTTTGTAGGATTTTTACCTAAATAAAGTATACGTGGCAAATAAAGTTGTGTTTCGGAAGCTGCTCGGAAGTCATCGGCCTGCAAGCCAGGACCCCAGGGAACTAATTGGACCCTGGCACGTGGGAAACGAGGTTCAACACCACCAACTTCTGATTGTTTAGAAAGTGGAAAGATGGCAATCTCTTTGGAAAACTTACAACTACTTGGTCATTAGGGGTAATGGCTTAACAGATTAGAAATAATTACTGGTACCTAAATTAATTTCTAATAATTTACTAAACGTAAATACTGGAAAAGGTGGCTTATTCTAAGCAACAGTATTTTTCCCATAAAAAAAAAAAAAAAAAAAAAAAAAACTAATCATATTTTTCTGAAGTATATACAAAATAATTGTAAATATTGCTGAGGTTCACAGGAATTAATTATAAATCAGTTTTAATAGTCGAATATTTATTTTATTCATATCTCAGTAATTGGAGATCAATTATAATTATTATTATTGTTAAGTATGTACACAAAAATAAACAATGATACAGAATAAAATTGTCTCTATGAAAAGTTTATTTGGCGAGTTCATTTTATATAGTCAATTAAGAGATATATAAACACATTCGTATACAAAAGTTTCAATAGTAATAATATTTAATGTATAGTTTATTTATATTAAATTATATGATTCGTGGTTCTAGTATATCAAGATTCAATGTTATTATCAATCTTAAATTAATTTATACATTAAAGTAAATATGTTATTTAGGTATTATAATAAAAAACATTCATCAGATTGCTTTATAAAAGTGTTAAATTTGAAAATCCTTTTTAATTATACGCAAGAGATTTCGTTTCATTTGCAATAAATTTTCAAAAAAGTACGAACATGTTTCAATTCCAATGTATTCTATTTGTAAGGGACTTGTATTTTTATACACCACAGCTAATTGATTTATTCTTTTGTCATGTAAATGCCATAAAACATGTCATTATTGAAACCTAATCTATAATGTGAGATATTGCCCATAAGTTAAAAATTTAAAGAGAAGCAGTTTATTTAAATATTATTTTCAGGAAAAAAAAAAATGACACCATGTTTCTCTTTGAAGGAAATAAATTACGAGCGAGGAACTACATTGTCTCTTAGGTGGAATTGACGTCAATTAACCAGCCTCTATTAACGTCTAATTCCTTCTACGATGGCTAACAATTACAACAGCAAACATCGCTAACAGTTCGATGGAATAATTGTTATCTTATCAGGGGAGTGATGGAATGTCTTTTAGAACTGGAAAGAATGACGTACTCCAGCAATAATACTCATTAGGTGGCAGGGTTAGCGGTAGGTCTAACTACAATGCATTTACTTCAAGACGAGGTTTCAAAAGAAGACAAGGGGGGTCAGGTAATGCCATAAATCAACTCAAGGGTCCGCTGCCTTCGTGGTATGTCGTTAAACGCTGCCACTAATGAAGCTAATGCCATTAGCAATATTGAAAATTATTAACGAATTGTGCCATAGTTTTGTATTCTAACACATTTAATTATTTGTGTTATAAAGTTGAAACGTTACGGTATTATTCTGTGAACTAATAAACAACAGCAAGAAGAAACTAACCAACAAATGCGGATTGACGAGTAGAAATAATGCAGTCAACCCAGTTTCAAGAATTAATACCACTGGACTTGTTAAGTGACCTATTAACATCACTGGATGTATCGCAAGTTGATACAATCTGAAGTCAAAGACCGATTGCGAGTGACTGTAATGTCACTTAACAAAAACTAAGTAGATAATATTATTCTATTTAAGTCTCCAAGGTCTAAAATAAAGCATATATTTACTAGTAGATTCCTATGTGTTATACTACAGGATTTCTGCGAACTAAGAGGAGTGACGTCACGACAGACCTGTTGCACATACTGTCTTGTAGCTGTTAAAATTACCTAGCGTGGAGATCCCTTCAGACACCGTAGATCCTTGCACATACCAGAAGGCCGACAACGAGCACAGGACACACGCGAACATACAGACGGTCCTAAGAACACTGCAGGACCCGCCTGACTCAGGCACCCCCACTACCGCTTCCCGGAATGTCCTCTCAATGGGGTCCCAGTACTGTGTAGAAATTGTTCTTCCACAAACCGTCAGTTACACAAATAGGATTACGGACCCACTGGGGTCGTTTAGGCCTGTCCAACAGTTACACAGGCGGATTTACGGGGGGGGCTTTCGGGCTGAAGCCCCCCCCCCAAAATGGTAAAATACAACCATGTTTTACAGAAAAAAATATTAAAAACTATCTCTTTAAGTATTCTTGTTCGTGTAATTACATTTAATAGGACTTCAAGAACCACTTAAACACCATTTCATAAAGGTAGTTAATTTCTTTCTTTTTTGTGTGATTAATTATCGTTATTTGTATATGAAAAAAAATCTTTCTGGCTGAAGCCCATCCCAAAATTAAAATCTGGATCCGCTAGTGAACAGTTACAGTACAAAATTTTCAAGTGCATGCTGAAGAATGCAGTTAGCTATATGCAATAGCTCTTTGCTCAAATGCTACTTCAATTAATTCATGAATTACCGGATGCAGACATTACGGGACTCATCATTAACTAAACATAATAAATTTTAAAAGTCACGGCAACCTATGAGATTTAGAAAAATCATACTCTAAAACCTACATTAAATTTATTTTATTTAATAGAGAGAAGAATAGTTGGGGTGATCAGTCAAATAAGAGCAAAAATAAATGATACTATTTATTTTGACATTAGCCGACGTTTCGACCTGAATTTCAGGCCAACATCAGGGCTAAGAAAAGAACCACATAACAAGGTATGAGAAACATAAATAGTGTAGGAAAAAAAAGTAAAATTCAGATATTAGAATAATGACAATAGTAAGAACAAAGAGATAAATGATAATAAGTGGTGCAAAGTGTGGAATGGAATAATTCACAATATCTTAATTTTACTGTTTATTTCCATTTCTTATATAACTTCATATTTTTCTGTTTTTACATTTTATTCTAAGATTCCCATTTTAATACTTATGTCACCTTTTTTTTTTTTTTTGTCTCTTATTTGACTGATCACCCCAACTATTCTTCTCTCCATTATTCACGACAGTTAACCATTTACCAATTATTATTTTATTTAATTCTTACTTTTCTAATGAAATTAAACATGCCACTTTTTATTTTTAAGAAAGGAAAAATAATACCCGTATTAATAGTAACATAGTACCTAAGTTTTTTTTTTTTTTTTTTTTTTTAACGGAATTTCATAGGAACTATCAGGATGACCACAGAATTTGGGAGAAATGTTAGTGATCAAATTTCTCTCATCGACAAGAAATTATATAACTATTTTGTATCCCCTACCATAACTATTATATATCTATATTTTCTTTATATATATATATATATATATTATTCTCCTCATAATTTTTGTATTTGTTTTTGACTAACCATATATTTTTTATTCATTTATTTATTTATTATATTTTCTCTTGTTTGGTATATTTTGGAACTGTTCATTCATTTGATACTGTTATTTACTTTATTTAATCCGTTTATTGTTATTTATTTTACAGTTGAAGTACCATTCTTTTTAAATATCTTTAGCCAACACATTTTGTAATAAGTTATATTAATAGTTATATACTAAATAACAATGTAATGCATATAATATGCTTACGCATGGTGTATGCACACTTCTAAGAAATATACGCCTCTTCTGTAGGGTTACTACAGCAGAGAAAAAAAAAAAATATATATATATATATATATATTTATATATATATATATATATATATATATATATATATATATATATATATATATATATATATATATATATATATACCTGTATATATATGTATACTTGAGATTTTATGTTTATTTTTTAGTTGTTTACATATAATCTTTAAATTCCTTATTATTATTAAAATGTAAATTACTATGTACATTGTATTATAATTTTGTTGCATAATAAGAGCTATTTTCAGACATTTATTTAAATTACTTGTATATATTAGAATTTTTTATTGCTAGTTGATATTAACTTAGCCTACTGTTTATGTTTTAGCACCAAAAATCAATGATTTTCTTCTATTTTATTTTATTTCTATTCTATTTATATATATATATATACATATATAATTTTTCGTTGAATTTTAATCTGAGTTCGAATAAAATTGCTCACATATGGTTGAATATGGCTCACTGCCTCAAGAATTTAAATAAAAATATATTCAATTACTTTATCATATTTCCAAATATACCCGTATGTAAAAAAAAATATATATAATAATAAATGAACACATACATAAATTTATCTTTATATATAGTGTTATATTGTTCGTTTTACAATAATTATGTCAATTATCACTCTTAATTTTTATACACAATATAAACTACCGAGACTTTTTTGGGGGAGGGGAATGGACCATCGTCCCCATAATAATCTATTAAACCAATACTTCAGTAATTGGTAGTTTGATCCTTTTGTTCTGGATAAAGTCTTGAAGTACTTTTTGTACCTCTTTATACAAGGTTTCGTGTGACCTTCTACTGGTGGCCTTATTCTATCGTTTACCTTGACTCGCTAATCACAATTCATACTTATTTTTTCTTAGAGCAGTCTAAGACCAATGTAAAGATATAATGCATAAAACTCCATTTCATCGTAACAATACAGTTTGAAAATTGTTATCATAATTATAATAAACAACTCCAGTGTTCCATTCGAAACAAGTCTTGTGTCATTTCATTTAAAATTAACATGCATTATACATGGAAGAAAATAAAATGAAATATAAATTACTCGGTCCAAATAATTTTTACAAACGGAATAAAAACAACCTTGGAAATGTTTTTCCATTTTCAAACTTCTGAATTCCATTGTTGATATCTGTAGCGGGTTCATGCAAATGTTATCAAAACAAAATAATAGCGTGTTAATTAAGACACTACACATTCCAAAGGATCTGATACTAATAGATTTGTCTTTACCACTGCCGGATCTACAGGCCGAAGCCCTCCCCCCCCAAAATAGAATTTTTTTTTCTTTGGTCCATATTTGTTAGTGTGAGTGATCTAAGCTATATACTTAAACAATAACAATATGTTCTATTTTTTTCAATTATAAAGCGTATACAGCTACTAAATCCTTGACTTATGAAAGAATATAAAAAGATTATCTCTAAAAGTATTATTGCTCCTATAATTAAATTTTTAAGAGAACTTCAAGAATCTTGAACACTTTTCATCTTTTCATCTCACATCAAGGGCGGATCTACGGAGGTGGGGGGGAGGGCTTTCGGGCTGAAGCCCTCCCAAAAAGGCAAAATATAACCATGTTTTATCGAAAAAAATATTAAAAAAGTATCTCTTAAAGTATTATTGTTCGTATGATTAATATTAAAAGGGCTTTAGGAATCACTTAAACACCATTGCATACAGGTAGTTAGTTTCTTTCTTTTTTTCCAAAGTAATTATCGTTATTTTTATGAAAAAAAAATCTTTCGGGCTGAAGCCCCCCCCCAAAATTAAATCCTGGATCCGCTAGTGTCTCACATCTCACATCTTTTCATCTCAAATAATTATCGTCATAGACATAAAAAAAAGACTAAGTGTGTTCTTTAGGCCACACGATAGAAGTGAAAACAGCGACAAGCGAGATTAATAATATGAAATATAAATTATAAATAATAGCTCATTAAAAAAACGGGTCAAATGCTGGACATTTTCCTTGCTTACAGTATGCAGGTCCGATTTTTAGCTTCTGAGATATTTTAATTCATATCTTCCACCAAACCCTTTAATTCGGGAAATACGGTTCTATTGTATCCCAGTATCTTTCAATTATTTTCATTACATCTATTATTATCATCATATTATTATGGTCATATTATTATGATTTATATTATTTATTTTATTTTTTTATATATTGTTAATAATATTAAATCATTTCAAACTAAAATTTCAATGTTGTAATAAAATTTGCATTTGTACTATATATATTAGCATAAACTCGATATAACTTGGTTTTGGACACTATCTCCTTCCCTCTTATACTCTCTAATACGGTGTTAAGATACAATTTCGAATAATAGCTCATTATAAAGAAGACAAAATGCTGAACATTTCCCTCGCTTACAGTATACAGGTCAGATTTCTATTATCTGAAATATTTAAATTCACATATTCAACCAACCTAGTTATCATTTGGTTTTCGGCACTAATTTTTTCTTTTCGCCTTCCTAACACGGTGTCGTGTTGAGATACAATTTTGAATTATAGCTTATTATAGAGAGGATGAAATTCTCAACATCTGCAGATCCGATTTTTAATTTGTGAAATATTTTAAAACATATGTAAAAACATTTCGACTACAGCCGACTTTACCCGAGTGTTAAAATCTGACGGATCAAACTAATTCAATCTCCGCTAATGATCTTTACTAATGTTTTCTAGGTATACAAATAATTGTGTGTATATGTGTATTGAAGGTGAGCTGCATACATCCCCATCACATTTTTTATTATTTTATATTAACTAGCTGATAGTAATAGTACATAGTACACAGTAATTTCCTTGCACAACATTACTAAAATAAGTGCACTTTGCTTAACGATCTATTCGGATCACATCTGCTTTATATGGGATTAAGATAAGAAGTAAGTATCAATTATCCTATGAAATAAATGTAATTAAAGATAAATAAGAAAGAGATGTATGGAGCAATATTATTTTTATTTATTATTATGGTGATTTTTATCATTCTGTGAAGCAACAAATAATTTAACATTGATTTCAATTATAGGAATTTTCATGATTTATTAATACGCAAATATTAAGTGAAATTCTTCATGAGTTAAATAAATAAAACAAATGTATACGACGTGAAATAATTAAACACATTTTAATATAAATCATGAAAACTGCTAGATTTCATTAATTTTTAGACAGATACAGACAAATAGTTAAAAAATGCAAAACAAATTTCATAACAAAAAAG